AAGGCATTATAAAAAAGCGGACCTAAAAGGCTCCCTTGCGGCACTCCACAGCGGAGAGGCAGCCAGTCTGACACCTTCCCGTTACTCGTTTAAAGCGGACTGATAGATATGACTGAATTAGCTTTGAGGCATAATCGCGAACGCCGTAAGCTTTCATTTTTAGTAGTAATGAATTATGACAAATTGCGTGAAACGCTTTGGATAGGTCAACAGCGACCGCCGCCATATCCTTTTTATTTTTAAGAGCCTGGCGCCAATTATCAGTTAGCTTTAATAAAGCGGAGCAGCAAGAATGCCCACGCAGGAATTGCTTTCTCATCGCTTCGATTTTTGCGCGAAAAAAATATTTGTTTTAAAGAAGTTTAACTCAATACAGACCTGTGTAAACTCACTTCTTACAATACACAAACATTACCTTCGTATATCAAAACTTTTCAACTTTGTAATTTTTTTGTATTTTTTTTTTTTGGCTTTTCATTTCTTGTCTACTGTTAATTTGTACGAAGAATGCCTTAAATTTTGGAAAAGCGTTTCTGAGAGGAGTATAAAAATTATCAGAAGATGGTGTTTCTGAAATTATCTGAGACTGCTGCAACCGAGGCAGTGTCATCCCTCTGGACTTAAGTGTTTTGAAAGTCAACACTTGGAAACCTAAAATCATAAGATCATCGCTTGAATGAATATTTTTGGAAATATGACGCAACATGGAAGTAACATGCGACGTATTAAGGCTGCTAAAATATACCGACTGAGAGGGAGTATTTATGGCGGAAAACGACGCAGCATTAATAGCATTTCTTGCACTCCACTTTGGCTTCATACTATAAACATTACCCATACCGATAAAAAATTAAATGCGTAGTTACCGCCAAAGGTAGGGCGCCAAAATGGCGACTATTAATTCAGATCCATAGATTTATTCTGTGCTTGCCATGGCATCTAAAACTGTCGCAGCTTGAAGCAATGCTTCATGGGAGTTACGGTGTACCCTCTCCCCACTCTCCGCTCTAACTCTAAATCAAACATGGCCGGTCGAACAAACGATTACGAGCTTGTAATGTTGAAAAGACGTCCGCAATGCAGGCTATCAGGCTATAGATCGCAAGCACTGTTCAATGCAAGGGAAAGTTTTCTTAGTGGGGATTTTTTTTCAAACATCATTGAACTTGTTTATTTGCGATATGAGAAAGTGGAAGAAG